TGGCTCAGTGGTAGAGCACTTGCCTTGCATGCTCGAGGCCCTGGGTTCGATTCCTCAGCACCACATAAGCAAAAAGAAAAAAGCCGGAAGTGGCACTGTGGCTCAAGTGGTAGAGTGCTAGCCTTGAGCTGAAGAGCTGAGGGACAGCGCCCAGGCCCAGAGTTCAGGTCCCACGACCGGACCCCCCCCAAAAAAAATCCCCCAACTTCTCCCAGGCAGAAACTTAGAGAACTTAGATAACTTAAATAGGGCTGGGAAGGTGGCTCAGTGGTAGAGTGCTTGCCTTGCATGCCTGAGGCCCTGGGTTCAATTCCTCAGCACCACATAAGCAAAAAGAAAAAGCCGGAAGTGGCACTATGGCTCAAGTGGTAGAGCACTAGCCTTGAGCTGAAGAGCTGAGGGATAGCACCCAGGACCGGACCCAAAAAAAAGAACTTAAATAGTGCCAGGTTGCCTGGGTTAAAATCCTTTAAGTCTTTATAATTTAGGGAGAAGGCGAGGGGCGGAGGGAAGTGGGAGAAAATGAGGGAGAGGTAACAATGTTCAACAAGAAACATACTCATTACCTTACTTATGTAACTGTAACCCCTTTGTATATCACCCTTACAAAAAAAAAATCCTTTAAGTCCTGGCAAGTTATTTAAATTTTCTATGCTTCAATGATGTATAAATGAGGAAAACATATAGAGCCTGCCTTATAAGTTGTTGTGAGAATTAAATTAGTTATTATCTGCCAAGTGAAAACTGCCTTACATATATTAAATGTTCATAAAATGTCAGCAAGGATCATTTTAGGTGTATTTCAGAATTTCTGTTTATAAAATAACAAAGTTGCCACATCTACCACATAGGAACCAATACCAATAAAGCACATGAAAGTTCTCTGTTAACAGTGAAACATGCATGTTGCTACCATCACCAACAGCCTATCCCACCAATGTCTCTGTTGGAGTTGTATTTCCTGATCTTATACTGTATATGTAGACTAAAGATTTGTAATAACTGAGTATGCTGATAAGGGTCACCTTATTCAAATGAGTAGGATAATATTAAATCTACTGAGAGTAAATTCCAGAAAGACAACATGTTAAACAAATCACCACTAACTTAATACACTGCTAAGGGCCAACTAAAACTTGAATTCATGTATAACTATTGTCTTTCAAAAAATGTAGATGAGTTTTACTATTTCCAGAAAAATTAAACTCAGTATCAGATTGAGGCAGTTTTAATATTTATTCTTTGCATGATTTAGTTTCATTATAGGTTTTTATCATGAAAAATTATTGAGTTTAAACAAATACTTCTTCTGCATGTGTTGAGGTGATCATATGGTTTTATTTCTTTAGTTTATTGATATGATGAGTTAATTCTGTTTTTGTTGTTGTTGTTTTTTCCTTTTGTGACTGTCCTGGGGCTTGAACTAAGTGATTAGATACTGTCCCTGAGTTTTCTGTTCAAGGCTAGTGCCCTACGACTTGAGCCACAGTTTAACTTTCAGCTTTTTGGTGGTTAATTGGAGAGAAGAGTTTTACAGACATTACTGCATGGGCTAGCCTCAACCATGATCCTCAGATCTCAGCCTCCTGAGGAGCTAGAATTACGAGTATGAGCCACTGGTGTCTGGCTAGATATTTAGTTTTTTAAGGGTGATCCAGCCCCTGTTCATGGACTAAATTATACTTGATCCTGATATCTTTATTACTCCTTTGATATACAATTAGATTTGCTATTATTAAGGATTTCTGCACTTATGTCCATGAGCAGCCTATAAGCCTCTAAGATTAATCTTGGTCTCTGGTTTGATTTCCTCCCTAAATCTCTGTTGGAATGTGGCTATGCCCACTGGCTTATATATTGCCTACAATATAACAGCACAGTTGAGTATATACCTGGAATCAAAGTAAGTTCTCTGTTTTGCTTACCTACAATGTCTCTATTTTACTTTTAGTTTTAAATTATTTTGTAGAAAGATCTGGGTTAGCAAGATTTTTTTTTCTACCACAGCATTTAAAGATATCACTTCATTATTAGGCTTTCATTGCTTCTGACTAGAAGATTCCTGTCATTATCGTTCTCTGTTATATAAACTCTGTATATAATGTTTCTCTTTTCTCTGGCTGCATTCAAAGTCTACATTGCATTTTCTCTCAAAAAATTACTTTTTGGTCATTGTGGGGCTTGAACTCAGGGCTTGGCCACTGTCCCTGAACAATTTTTGCTCAAGAATAGCACTGTACCACTTGGGCCACAGTATCACATTCAATTTGGAGTGGTTAACTGGAGATAAGAACCTCACAGGAACTTTTCTGCTTGGGCTGGCTTTGAACTGTGATCCTCAGATCTCAGCCTCCTGAGTAGCTAGGATTATCGGTGTGAGCCATTGGTGCCCAGCTCTTTCTTTTTTTTTTTTTTTGGGTCCGGTCGTGGGGTCTGAACTCTGGGCCTGGGCGCTGTCCCTCAGCTCTTCAGCTCAAGGCTAGCGCTCTACCACTTGAGCCACAGCGCCACTTCCAGCTTTTTTTTTCTTTTTTTGCTTATGAGGTGCTGAGGAATCGAACCCAGGGCCTCAGGCATGCAAGGCAAGTACTCTACCACTGAGCCACTTTCACAGCCCGAAATTTTTTTTTTTTCTGAAAAGAACCAGGTAGAAAATTGTTTTAGGGGGGCTGGGAAGGTGGCTCAGTGGTAGAGCGCTTGCCTTGAATGCCTGAGGCCCTGGGTTCGATTCCTCAGCACCACATAAGCAAAAAGAAAAAAGCCGGAAGTGGTGCTGTGGCTCAAGTGGTAGAGCTCTAGCCTTGAGCTGAAGAGCTGAGCGACAGTGCCCAGGCCCAGAGTTCAGGCCCCATGACTGGACCAAAAAAAAAAAAAAAAGAAAATTGTTTTAGGCACTCTCATTCATAATATAGTTTCTGCTACATATGATATTCTTTTTAAAACAACTCTTTAAAAATGCAGAAGGTAGTCATAGTTTACTTGTTGCACAAAGGCAAGTCATGGGCTCGTCTAAGCAAACATTTTAACTCTAAGTAATCATACTTAAATTCTCTGTCTAGTAGTTCCAACATCTGAATCATCTGAATCATCACTGAGAATCTAGTTTTGCTATCTCTTGACAATGATTCTTCTTTGAATTTTTATTTATTTTACTTTCTATAATTTTTTGTGATTATAAAGATGGTATACAGAGGGATTACAGTTACAAGTCAGGTAATGAGCACATTTCTTTTTGACAGTGTCACCCATGATTCTTTTCCTTCCTTCCTTCCTTCCTTCTTTTCTTTCCTTCCTTCTTTCTTCCCTCCCTCCCTCTCTTCCTCTCTCCCTCTCTCTCTCTTTCTTCTTTCTTTCTTCTCATTGTGTTCAGCTGACAAGCAGATTCTTGTCAGATACTGAGAAATGAACACATCTCTTCTTGGGTCAGGCTTGACATGAGCTAATTTTCATAGAAGATTAGTGGTATGTGCATCATAACCTTTAAGGGCCTTAAATACTATACATTTTTCAGTACGAACACTACATTTTCTACTTTTGATTATCTCTGTATGCCTGGGTCACAAAGCAGGATCTGAAATGCCTATTCTTAGGTGAGTATCTTTGGTCTAATTAGACCAAAGATTAGATACCTGATTAGATACCAGGAGTGTCCTAATCATAAAAGGCTAGAGTTGGCATCAGGTTAATTTGAAAGGATAAAAGAACATATATATGTGTGTATATTTACACACATACCATATATATATATATATATATATACACATATATGTGTGTGTGTGTGTATATATATATATATATGTATCTCACCTACAGGGGTTTGTTTTTCTTGGGAATCCTTAGGGTAGTTTGGGGTTTCTGGTTCCTTGAAATGCTAGCTCAGATTCAAGAGAATAGATTCATCTTCTGCAGGAAGATCCCACAGCTATCCTAGCTTAGAAACCAACACTCTTGATCATCACAGAATTTGTAAAGGATGTGTCTGGTTATTTCACTAAGTATATCAGGTAAGTTCAGTTAACAAGGACATGGAGTCGGAAAAAAAGTTTTAAAAGATTGCTTGAAGATGTTCCCATAAATCCATGTGGAAATATGAGTTCATAATGGTGAATGAATGAATTTTTGAAGACTTACCTAAAGACATCAAGTCTCAGCCGGGTGCTGCGGGTGGCTTACCCCTAGGCCTGTAATCCTAGCTTTTCAGGAGACTGAGATCTGAGGATCACGGTTCAAAGCCAGCCTGGGCAGCAAAGTCCGTGAGACTTATCTCCAATAAACCACCACTGTGGCTGAAATGGTAGAACACTAGCCTTGAACTAAAGACCTGAGGGACAGAACCTAGGCCCAGAGTTCAAGCCCCATTACTGACAAAACAAATACAAAATACAAAACAAAACAAAATACATCAAGTCTCACTCAAAGAAATAAACATGCTCATCCGAAACGGTGCTTCTTTATCATCTTGACTGTTAATTATAGTTAATGTTGAAAGAAGGAACTCTTAGTATCGTAGATAACTCTTTGCAGAATTTGTTACATTAAACTTCCTCTGCTTTAGTATTTAAAAAGGAATTATACATGCCAGTATAATGCCAGTGTATACAGTAGCATATACCTGTAATCCTAGCACTCAGGAGACTGAGGCAGAAGGATGCTAAGTTTGAGGCCAGATTAAGCTCCATAGTGACTATGAGCCCAGCATAGGCAATGAAACAAGCTCCTGTCTTGCAAACAATTAAAAAAAATATAAAGTAGAATCACTGGGCTGGGAAGGTGGCTCAGTAGTAGCTAGTGCTTACCTCACATGCATGAGGCCCTGGGCTCAATTCCTCAGCACCGTATACACAGAAAAAGCCAGAAGTGGTGCTGTGGCTCACTTGATAGAGCACTAGACTTGAGCTGAAGAGCTGAGGGACAGTGCCCAGGCCCAGAGTTCAAGCCCCATGAGCGACCAAAAACAAAACAAAACAAAACCATAAAAATACCCCTTCTTTGAAACTTACCAGATCGATGTTTTGCATTACATCTTGAAAGGAAGGATGAGTTCGAAACTGTTCAAAAAGATCTCGTTTGTAAAGCAGTGCGTACACCAAGTTTGGGTTGTGGTGAAGAGAATTTGTCAAGCAGGAATTGATGATTTCTAGCATCATTCGAATCACTTCTTCAATGACATTGAGGTCTTGAGCCTTATAAACAAAGTAAGCCCCAAAATAGTCAATGTTTTTTTTTTCCTTCACACAGAGGAATTAAAATGTAAGTAACTGCTTATAATTATAACAGTACTGGAAAAATTAGGCAGGAAAGAATTCAAGTTTATTTGCCAAGAGGTGGATTTATCAGCTACTAAAGGGTTTGAGTTAAAAACATAACTAGGAATTTCATATAATAAATGATGTATTAGCTAATCAAGAAGAATATTTAGAACCTCTTCATCAATTCACTTAGCAGATTCTTATTTGTATTCTCAGCCTAAATTGTTAAACTTCCACAATGTAATGATGAGGCCTTACCAAAAATAAGTGTCCAGTTCCAAAATTTACAGATAAATATACTGTGGTTTTGCCACTGTTTCCTCAGTGTGAACAGTCTTTGAGAATTTGAATGTAAAATGTCTATAAGACAACAAAATTTAAAGTAAGCAACTAGCAAGGTTTTCAATAAAAGACTGAGTGCAGCTCAAAGCTTCCAGCTGGGAACCTGGAGCCCAGTCTTAAGCCTCTCACTGGATTCTCTCCAGGGCTCTTCCCTGGGGAGCCGAGCTGCTAGTCCCTGCTGTCTCCTTCCAGCACGGGGCTCATCAGGCTCTCTGGCTCTCACTATTTACTCTGCTTTGGCGCCATGGAGAAACATCAATCTCAGCTTTGGGCCTGACTCTGTACTTTGATGTCTTACAATTTGTTATGGTTTATCTATTATGATTTTGGTGCAAAAAAGAGAGATCAGCCTTCAAATATAGAACTGACAACATAATATCAACCTGAAGTTCTCTTAATTGTATTTTCATTCCATTTGATATATGATTTATTTACTAGAGGAGAAAGAGTTTAGAATTTTCTCTCAGGTCATTTAAGAACAACTCACTGGGATAGTATGACTACTTCAGAAATATAAATCCTAATCTGTCTTTCCTTTTTTTAAGTTATATTTTTATTTTATTACCTTTAAGTAGTTGTACAAAGAAGTTACCATGCAACAAACCACTTTATGAATACATCTTGATGAATGTCATCCCTTTCAACATTTTCCTCCATTTCTTCCACCCCAAGCCCTCCCTTCAAGTTTCTTAATTTTATAGAATATGCATTGAATATTATGACTATGTTATTCCCTGCTTACCTCCCTCTCCTTTTTTTTTTTTTTTTAAATTTTGCCATGATTGGGGCTTGAACTCAGGTCTTCATGCTCTCAGCTTTTTTTTGCTAACGGCTGGAGCTCTACCACTTGAATCATACTTTCACTTCTGGGTTTTGGTAGCTCATTGGAGGCAAAAGTCTCGTGGACTGGTTTCAAATTATAATAATCAGATCTCAGTCTCCTTAGTAGAGAGGATTATAGGTGCTTTAGATTTTACTTTGTATCAGTCTGACTAAAAAGTCCTTAAAAATTATATTACCTGTCTTATTTATTTATTTATTTGGTCTTGGGGCTTGAACTCAGGGCCTGGCGTTGTCCTTGAGCTCTTCTTCTCAAGGCTAATGCTCTACCACTTGGAGCTACAGCTCCACTTCCAGTTTTCTGGTGGTTAATTGGAGAGAATTTTCATGAACTTTCCTGTCTGGGCAGACTTTGAACCACAATCCTCAGATCTCAGCCTCCTGAGTAACTAGGATTACAGATGTAAGCTTGGCTACCTGTCTTAATGATCTTACTAGGTATTTTATGAAATTTCTGTTATACTGTTACTATGGATAAGTGCTAATGCTAATTTTTATAGATTATAAACAGCTGCAGAAATATAAATTGAACAGCAAAGGAAATTCCCAATAATATAGGAAATAAAGATATTTAATATGTTATCAAATTTTATTGCACTGTCATGATAAAAGGCATTTTTGGTTTTTTAATGTTTCTAAACAATTAGGGAAACAAATAGGGAATAATATACAACTGAGAAGTTTAGAGGAAGTTTAACTTAAAGAGTAGCTGATTTTCTACCAATATCTATTTTAACATGTAATATTATAAATAATTTATGTTAGTACACTTTTAATACAAAGGCTGCATAAACACTCTTTTCATGAGATAAGGTCAGTTTCCTTCCTGGTTACACCCAGGGGTGAAATTCTAAATATTTATCAACTAGTAGGCCAGGCAGGCCTACTGGATATGGGATATATCAGCCTGCATCAGCTGATTTCCAATTACACTATTCCTGTGAGGGCTCTGAAAGGGATTATTTCTTGAGAAATAAAGTTTCCTTGAAGCTATGTATCTATATTGATTGGTTTTATTATGTTCTAAAAACTGTACCAGGAATTTCTCTCTATATATAATTTTATTCAATTCAGTAATTCTTTGATTTAATACAGAGTAAGAAAGCTTAAAATCTGACTAAAAATTTTTTAAAAATAGTTGTTTTTGTGATTTTTTGGCTTCTTTTGTTATGTTCTCCTATGGTATATCCCTACTGCCATCGTATTTGATTTTGGTACCCTGCATTTTGTATATACATGTATCTAATTTGGGGAGGGGAAGGAGAATAACAAAATGCTGAAACAAGGACATAGGATGACCTGTTACAAGATACTATGTTGGAAATGAACCTTATAAGTTTGCGGGGGTTGGGGGGGGATGAGAGAGCTAGGGGAGGGAAGGGATAGTAGGAGAAAAACAAAGGAGGGGGTAACAATGCCCAACAAGAAATGTACTCATGGGGCTGGGAAGGTGGCTCAGTGGTAGAGCGCTTGCCTTGCATGCCTGAGGCCCTGGGTTCGATTCCTCAGCACCACATAAGCAGAAAAAAAAAAGTCAGAAATGGCGCTGTGGCTCAAGTGGTAGAGCGCTAGCCTTGAGCTGAAGAGCTGAGGGACAGCGCCCAGGCCCAGAGTTCAGGACCCACGACTGGACCAAAAAAAAAAAAAGAAGAAATGTACTCATTAACTTGCTGATTTAATTGTAATCTCTCTGTACAGCATCTTTGCAAGAAAACAAACAGCACAAAAAAAAAATCCAGCCAGGTGCTGGTGGCTCACCTGTAATCCTAGCTACTCAGATAGGATCGAGGTTCAAAGCCAGCCTGGGCAGGAAAGTCCGTGAGAGACTCTTATCTCTAATTAACCACCAGAAAAACACAAGTGGTGCTGTGGCTCAAGTGGTACAGCACTAGCCCTGAGATGAAGAACTGAGGGACAGTGCCCAGGCCTAGGGTTCAAGCCCCACAACTGATACACACACAAAAAAAACCCATAAAAAAATCACAAAGCCACACACAACTTATATTAGACACAAAAGTTACTCTCTTTAATGCTAGAATCCATCCCCTTCTTTAGAGTGGACATCAAGTGAACAACTAGCTTACTCTTTTTTAAGAATTATTACTAACTAGTTGTATATAAGAGTTACAATTCCATAAATCAGGTTATAAATACAATGCTTCTTGGTCTATGCCACCCCTTCCTTCATGAAAGCAGAATATACAATTCTTTCACCTAAGTCAGTGATTCTCCGCTACTACTTTAATAATCCTTTAAGAAATAGCTAGGATTCTTACTGTTCATTGTTTTCTAGAAACGACATTCTATGTGTCCCTTCATTCCTGTTGGAAGATCAATTACAGCTTCCAGGCACCAACCAGATCATGAAATAATCATGATATATTATGTGATTTACTAAAAACAATGTATCAAATTTTTGGTTAACTCTAATTTCCAAGAGAAATTATCCCAATAAATATAATTTGCAAGTTAAATTGAATCTTCAAATTGGCTTCAAATGCAGGTATATATTGGACATGGCAGTGTACCAATGAAATATTTTCTTTCTTTCTTTCTTTCTTTCTTTCTTTTTAAAGCATTATCAGTTAAGTGAAGTAAGCCAGGCCCAAAGACACATAGCTCCCATGGTTTCCCTTATTGCAATAACTAGTATAAGTCTAGGACAAGCAGAGAAGGTCAAAAGCTATGTACATATGACCATATAAGATGATGGTAAGTGAAAGGAACACCAAGATAGGGACACAAATGGTTATTTCTTTCTTGTTATTGTTTTTAACATATTTATAATGTACTATGTGATTTTTTTTTGTTGTTTCTTTGGTATGTTCCTTCCCCATGGTATAACCTCTATTTTCACTATATTTGATTCTGGTGTCCTCATCTTGTATATACATTTTTCTAATTTGGGGAGGGGAAGTGAAAAAACAAAATGCTTAAATAGGGATACAGGTTACCCCATTGTAACAATGAGTGTACAAGACACTATGTTGAAAATGAATTTTACAACTTCAGGGGGAGGGGGGACGGGCGGGGGGGGGAAAGGGGGAGAAAAGGAGTTGGGGGTGGGGAGTAGTTGTGGATGTGGGGAAGGAAGGGATGGTAGGGGAAAAACAAAGGAGGAGGTAACAATGCTCGATAGGAAATGCACTCATTACCTTACTCATGTAACTGTAATCCCTCTGTACAGTAGTTTTACAATACAAAATGTATTTTTTAAAAAAGAAAAAAAAAGCATTATCAGGTAATAATCATTACTTATAAAAAGATGAAAAGTTAGCATGAAATTGAAAAGCTTTCTCTCTCTCTCTCTCAATTTGTTACTGGTTCCAGGGTTTGAACTCAGATGTTACACTTCACTCAGCTTTCTTGCTCATAGCTGGTACTCTGTGACTAATGCCATACCTCCAAGTCAACATTTTTCTGGTTAACTGGAGATAATGTTGTAGACCTTTCTGTTTTAAGCTATCTCTCCGCCTTCCCTCCCCCCTCCCCCCCCACAGTCCTGAGGCTTGAACTCAGGTCCTGGGCACTGTCACTGAGCTTCTTTTGCTCAATGCTAGAACTCTGCCCACTTAAGCACTTGAGCCACGGCTCAAGTTTCTGTTTATTTTTTCTGTTTGTGTGGTACTGAGGAATCGAACCCAGGGCTTCATGCATGCTACGCAGGCACTCTACCACTAAGCCATTCCAGCCCCACCCACCCCCACTTTTTTTTTCTTGGCCAGTCTTGGGGCTTGAACTCTGGGTATGGG